CAAATAGTCTAGTAAAATCGTCATCCAAATTTCTTGTTTCTTAATTTTTTTTTTGTTTCTGTTATGTTGCCTGTATTTCTCATATAATTTTTTATTTGATATATTGCTTAAGACAATAATAAATCAAACAGTCTCTGTATACCTTTATTAGTAACGCTGCCGATACGGGCTAATTTCATTAATAATTAAAAAACAATCTTGTTTGATAATAATCCCTTGACCCATTTTATTTTCAGTTGGTCGTTTCTCTGACATGCCTAGTGTTTGTTAGGGGTATCAGAGTGTCAAAATTGGACTGAAGGAGATCAAAACAAGACGAGGAATATATGTTCGATTATAAAATATTTATAGCCCCAAACCGAGCACAACATTGATAATCCGAGGGATAATCTTCGAAAAATACCGTTATCGGAATCTTAAGGATGTTATTTCGGCGAAAAAAAAATATATGAAATTTGAAGGGGTATTATAGTCGTAACGTAAACACGCAACATTCGCCAAAATGGGAGAACATAAAATATTTGATTTCGTTTTAGGGTTGTAGGGTAGACGGATTGGTGTGAGTGTTAACGTTGTTTTATGGCATAATTTGTTGATATATTACTACGGATTGTGAGTTGACAGTGCAATTTGTCACCGTGCTGACACAGTTTTAAAAATTCGACCCTAAACTACAGACTTAACGTCACTTTTATTAGGGTTTGACAAACATATTATTTAGCGATAACCTATCAAGATAATTCTTGCAGAGAATACATGGCTTTTATAAAATAGTTTTTCATTAAGTTTATCTTATATTTGTCCGCGTTTATAGTGCACTCTTATAGCTGCTATAATAAATTTAATAATTATTAAGCTGTATTAGAATAAAAAGTCATGTAAAAAGTGATTCCAAACAAATCATGCACCAAACCAAAATTAAACAAAATAATTATTAAATAAAAATTTTATTTAAAAATCCTTTGTAAAAGTTATTAAATTTATTTAAAAGAACCACTAGGGGCTAAAATCACTGAACGTTTTTGGCCTAAATAGTCCATCTTCAAAGCTGCTACCTAAAATAAGTATAATCACTCCAATTTACAAAAAAAAAAAACAAAAAAGTTAAAATCAGCGAATGGAAAAGAGAAGTATTTTTAAAGTGTGAAAACATACATAAAAGACTATAGGTGAGTCCCTAACCCTTAGGGTACTGTATAGTGTTAGATAAAGTTTATCCAATGCATTTGTTTATTTGGCTATTTGGCTACATGCTTTCTTTTTTTAGCAGGCCCTTGCATGTTGACCTAAGGTACACACTTTTAGTGTGTCTTAGACCAGAATAAATTGTTAACTTGGGTCAGTTATAAAAAAAATAAGATGTTAGAACAAATCTTGAAGTTTTTTATTGAAAATCTCAAAATAATCAGAAAATTATGATTAACTAATTAATAATTTGTTAAATAAAAACTGTATAATACTAATACTATAAAAAAATAAATATAAAATGTGAAGTGAAAAGACAGCAAATATTTGATTTCACGCAAAAAGCGCCTTTGTATCTGTCGAAATGTGTTTTGACCTAATAGGTCTTATCACACAGTTATTTAAAGGTGTTCTCAACGTGAAAGATCAATATTTTCTGTCTTTTAAAAAGCAACACTAAAATGGCTTCAATACGGACGCAATAGCGACATCTGACAATAAAACCGTAAAATAGTTTCGAAACACAATTCAGATTTCTGCTTTAATCGGTGCTTTCTAAAAATTGCAAAGCAAAACAGACGTTGATAAAGGTATTAAAAGAGACGTGGGGAATCTAAAATTTGCATTCCACGACACGTCTTTTCAACTAAGCAGATATCCTTAGCGAATTGGTTTCTAGTACTCGTACAGAGTATATCCGAATAAAGTGAGAAGACAGCAAATATTTGATTTCACGCAAAAAGCGCCTTTGTATCTGTTGATACGTATTTCGACCTAATAGGTCTCATCAGAATAGTTATTCAGAGGTGTTCTCAACGTGAAAGATCAATATTTCCTGTCTTTTAGAAACAACACTAAAATGGTTTCAATACGGACGCAATAGCGACATCTGACAATAAAACCGTAAAATAGTTTCGAAACACAATTCAGATTTCTGCTTTAATCGGTGCTTTCTAAAAATTGCAAAGTAAAACAGACGTTGATAAAGGTGTTAAAAGAGACGTGGGGAATCTAAACGTAAGATTCCCAACGTCTCTCAACGTTTAAATATAAAAATTTTATATTGTGTCTGCTAAATTTAACATTAAACTGCAGGTGCACATCGTCACGTGCAGTTCAGCTTATTTTGTGCGACTGTGGTAGTTTACGTACAATATCATTGCACAAAAAATCATAAATCTTGGTTGAGTCGTTTATAAACTTATTGGAATCTAGAATTCTACGTAAATATCTAAGTTCAATATTACTTCCACTATTCAGTATTTCGGCATCAAAGTAAACAAAAGATTTCTTCCCTGCCAATTTCTCTAAGACAAGACATTTCCCTTTATTAATCTCACCATTTTCAGATAAGTCATATTTTTTTGGTCATGTAATAATTCTTCTTCTCCAGTTACCAAGTCCTAAAATGTACCTTCATCACTTAAACTTGATTCACTATTATACTTAGCAACTCTCATTTGTACATTTTTTATATATTCTGTCGCTATTTGCTTTGTAACTGCCTGCACTTTCTCAACTGATACCTTCTCTTAAATTATTCCCTTTTTGAGCACAGCTAATTCATCTTTCTCTGGAGTGTCGGTAAGTATTAGTGACTTTCCTCTTGCTCTTTAAACCTTCTTTTTGCAAACAGATGTCTGTGGATGGGGTCGCAACATTTTAGGTGTAATAGAACATCCTAAAGTCCTGCTTGACAAATATTTGAGGTAAAAGGAGTAGAGACTTCCATTTCATTAACTGAAGTGTTAGTTGGTTTCCCGTCCTGTTCAACATTGACTTGCTCGCGACTATCAGTAAGCTGGTTTAAAGGACGATGAGCAGACATACGAAGACAGAAACTCATTATCTTCAAAAATATTTTTATTGATGTAATTGAGACCGCTCAGCTCAAATCACTTCTGGATATTAGATGTAGTAAGTGCTTTTGGAAATCTTTTACCTGCAAGTTCAGCTATATCGTCAATCGTATTAGGTTGTCCAGGGTGCATAATCATCCACTCGCAATAGGTTGCGAGGGATGGGTCGTAGGTTTTCATCGGTTCAAAAACTGTTCGATCGAGCGGTTGTAACTTTGTTTATTGTAACTTTGGTACCGTATGTATGCATTTACAATAGCAATATCTATTATACGAAAGAAAACAGCAAGAGTCCATCTGCGAGTTCTTTGACTACACGAACTTTTAGCACATTTTTCCTCCATGCAGTCTACACTTTCTTTGCTGGCGTTATAATATGAAATTATTTCTGGTTTTTCTATTTAAAAATCATTACATCTGCAAAACATCTATTAACTCTAATGACGAAAAACCAGTTGTCCGCAGTTATTTTTCTGTTGCTGCCAATTAAATCTTTAGTTAACCGCAAGACTGGTTGTGTTGGCTTTGCATATTTTTTTCTTTGAGTAAAAGACTTAAGCCATCCGAGTCTTTGTTACGGCATATATAGGTATCCGTTATATAAATAACTGGTTCTTGCTCCAGTAAGAGCCAATATTTTGATGCTATACTTACATGGCTTATTAGGCATATACATTTGAAAACGGCACCTTCCCCTAAAACTGACAAGCATTTTATCACCAATTGCTGATTGGCCTAGACCTCATGCGTTTTGACAATTTTTAATAAAAGAATTAAATATATAAGAAACTGCTGCTGCTGGATCATGTATTTTTTCTTTCTTCTTGATCATCTGGTTTATCAAAACGAAGAGGTGATAAAATGACTGTAAAACGCTTTTGATTCAGGACAGTTCTTAAAATTTTCCTGCCAGTTCCATTTGTTGCAAAAAGCGTATTTTGCAACAAAAAGAGGTCATGTTTATTTGGATCATTATACTTTATTTTCAATAAATTCAATTTATAATTGGTCCACTAAATAACACATAATAACATATTTTCGTCAAACAATAACTGCCATACCTTTAGAGGATCAGCTTCAAAAGACTTCGTGCTTTTGTTTTTAGGACGGGAATTTTTGTTACTAAATTATATTTCCTTATACTAGATGTCAAACATCAGATTTACACCACCTGATTCGGCTTTTACCGTAGAAATATGTTTGATTATTAGTTTTAACTATATTTTCTTCTGAAATATTTTCTTCATCACTTTCCGTAGCAATGCCTGAATCCGCCTGGCTATCAGATTCCAAATAAACATCATCTTTTACTTGATCAACATCAATAATATAAAAAATAAATGAAGTGATGTGCGGTTGGGCGAAGTTATTTGTACAGGGTGTTAAAAATTCTTTAGCCGTCTGTCAGACGGCACGTCTCCAGTTAAGGGTTAATAAATCACTGTAGATTGCGTCTAACAGAAAAAAGTTGCCTTAACTATAACTACTACAATATTTTAACAAAAAGGTTTTAAAACAGCAATGGTTTTGCTTTTTCTAAGCTATCTTTTGACACGATGCTTTTATTACTCAAAAGCATATACGACTCATTGCGGAACATCTAGTGAACTTCTTACTATGACTTTTCCATAAATCATTTTCTAATAATCTCTGTTCTGGTTTTTTAAGTTACATTTTATATTTATTTTTTATATAATATGTATTTTTGACTTGCAACAAACAATATTTGCATTTGTTAAGTAGTTAACTAAAAAAAAAATCTAACTCTAAAACTCTAAAACATAATGACATAATATAACATAACATAACATAACAATCCAAAACCAACGCCGTTAGTATTTTACATGCATCCTTTATGGTTTCTTAAAACAAACGTCTATATTTTGTCGTCTCTAATCAAAATTAATTATCTTAAATCTAGATATCTAGCCTAAAATACTTCTCTTTTTCTTTCAGGTTTGTTCAGGCAGTCCTGGCGGCCAAAAACTCTCCGCTGATCAATACAGAGCCTGTATCAGATCTCGCGCACTAAACGAAGCCTCACACGCCCAATTGGGCTTCCTGGCATTTAGGGACGATATCGCTGCGAATAGCAGTCCAGCAAAATACAACCCACACCAAATCAAGACCTTGAAGACAGCACCAAAGAAGTTGAGGACGCAAACGTAAATTGACTATTGATTTATTGATGATTGTGTAATGTACACGAGAAGTTTGTGAAGTACAACAAATTTGCCTAACAGTTTTTTTAGTTAAAATATATCTAAAAATTTATTATCGTAAATTTCCTGTGTACATTTGTTATTATCAACAATTTTATTATGGTGCTTGTTAAAAATATTTGAGTTTTAATCTGGAAAATATAGTGTGTTTTAAAAAAGCACAAAACTGTCATTGTTAAAATCCCAGAATCACGTATTTCTCTCAAAAATAACTTGGCCATGATAATTTTCCACTATATATAATATGCCTGGTCTATATTACGCTAAAAATACCTTATGTTTCAGTGATAATCAAAATCTAAATCAAACTCTACGCTCCGGCTACTGAGAATTTTTTCCGCTACATAGATTTCTCTTAGATTTTCTTAAATTCAAAAAGCTGAACAATTTATTCATAAAAATCTTATTGAATAATTAAGGCTTTCTAAAAAGAAAATCAAATTTTAACATAAATTGTGTTAAACAATTTGACCGAAAAACTAATTAAGTCTTTTTAAATTTTATTGTGACACCAAGAAACAGAACCAGACAAGAAATTATCAAATTGATATCAGTCTTGACAGATGTAAAGCTGTTTCGGAATCTTTTATTTACCTTTATGTAGTCTATTTGAATCCTAATAATTCTCTCGGGTCTGTTATGAGGGGATTTCCACGTGTACAGCTTGCGAGGTGGTAATTGGAAGAATGTGTTAGTTACAACCAGTTCTGAGTCTTCTGCGAATTTTTCTAGGAGGTCTCCTCTCTCGTTTCTGACTCCAAGTCCATGTGCTCCAATGTACTGTGTCTTATCAATCTTAACGAATTGAAGGCATTTAAGGTACTTGAGGCATTAAAATCGCCCATAATGATGAAAACTTCCTATTAAGAAATTTTCTGTATGATACTGTTGATGCTCTGACATAACTCAATTGCTTTTTCCTTCGTTTTGTCTGGGGTGGGAGCATAGAGAACCTGATAAGTTTACGGAAATCAACAAGTAGAAATATATATTTGTAAAGAGTGACCGCCATATGAATAAAAATAAACAGAAAATATTAATTTTCTGTTTTATAGTAAAAACTGCACATTTATCGCTTTTATCTATCTATCTTTTTTTCTCGACCTTTACGATGACCTTATTTTTCGCTTTTCAGACTATAAAAATAATTTATTATTAAGAAAACAAGTAAATAATACGTCATTACTAAACATATTTGGCGTATTTTAAAGCACACTATATTTTTCATAACTTTGTACCTAGTAGTAAAAAAGAAACTTACCCCTTGTGATTTTGAATGCCGAAATTCCAAAATAACTTACGTGATTTTTATTGTTATGTTTTGTTATGTTGGTTAACAGTTTATGTTTATGTTATTATTATAAATACTTAAAGGATTTCATAGCTACGCATGATGATAAGCAGAGAAAATAGTATTAATTAATTAATTAAATAAAACTACTGATTATTTGATTAACTTTTTCGGTTATTGCTTTTTGAATTCTTTGAATAAGGTTTGGTCATTTTTGGGATCCTCGTTTGTCCTTTGGGATTGTTCTTTAGCTTCTCTTGTTTTTCTTCATATTAGATTATGCAGCTTATTATACTGAGGTGTGTTATTATTCTTTTGCCTTCTTCTGTCCTCCATTATTTCCAAGATTTCTTGTGTCATCCAATCTGGTTCTTGCATCTGGTTGTTGTGAGTTCTCTGCAAGTTGGTTCGATAATTACATTTTTAAAGAATTGCCACTGCTGTTCTACATGAAGGATGAAAGATGGACCAAGACAATTATACATTGGAGACCATGGAATCACAAACGAAAAAGGGAAAAGGCCACAAATGAGATGGTCAGATGACCTGAAGAAACACGCCGGGTCAAAATGGATGCAAATTGCCCAAGATAGAGAGGCATGGAAGAAGGAGGACGAGGCCTATATCCAAGGATGGATGTTTAGGGCTGTATAGATAGATAGTTCTACATCACCATCAATTGATTTCGGTGTGGATTCTAGGTTTGCATTAATTTCTTATTTCAGTTTTTCTTTGACATCTCCTGATTTAAATTTTTTTTATGTTAAGTTTATCTCTTTTGTAGCTTTTTTGTAATCATATTCAAACAAATCATATTACCAACAGGAATGTCAATTTAGAACTGAGAAAGCCGATGGCTAGATGCTATTGGTACTCCGTATCATTATATTAAGGGTAAAACCTTATCTAATACCTTAACTTAATTATCTAATATCAAAAGTTTAGCATCTTATTTTTAAAACGCCTGTTAAAGATTTTTGGAACTAACTTCAAACAAATGGGCAAGTATTTAAAAAAGAACGTAATTTTTGGTCATAATATAACGAGAAAACATAGAGATAGTCTAGTTAATGTGATCATACAGAGCAACATAAAAGAAAGGAAAACAAAGAATCTCATAGTTAAAAATAGTTGTAATGATTTCTAAACCTTCGCCGGTAGAGATCGCTTCATAAGGAGTAAAAAAGTATTCACTGTTAACTGATTCAGGTCAATATTTGTTGACTGTATTACATCATTCATCATCTCCATTATTACACAACGTAGAAGTGAAATCCTTTAAAGAAATGTTGACATGGCCACATCGAATCTCATCTTTAAAATAAGGGAATTTCATAAAATATAATTTTTGGGAAACGGATTTTAGGAAAATGCTTGTATTTATATTGCCATATGAAATTTTAGGTGGAAAGAAATTGTTTTGAACGATGTTTGAAATAGATAAGACACTATTTAAACTGTTTTAAGAAGTTTAAAATAAATCATTTTTTTATGTTTTAATGAGAACAACTGTCTGTTTGATACTTTCAGTCAAAATAATTTCCTTCCGTGGTGTATGAATGTTTTTAAAGAAATTTTAAAGCAGTTGTTTGATAGAATGAAAGATTCTTATATCAATAATACCTAAATATTATTAGAAACATGTGAGCCGATTTTTTAAAATAAATGATATAAACTTTATAGTGTTTTATTTCAGATAAAACGAGTTTGTGTCAGTGATGTGTATTCTCCCTATTTATATAAAGATGACCTCTTCTTCTACTCATAATTACTAAGATTTATAAGCGTATTATAGAGGTAATGCAAGTTTTGATCCGGCACCTTCGCCATACTTTTAAAAATTTCTATGATGAACATAAAGGATATAAAACCATAAAAATTAATATATTATTGATCCGGTACAGACGTTGTTATCTGAATATCTAGCTAGAATGTTATTTAATGTAAAAAATTTAAATCTCTTTTGCATTTTTTTTAATACCTACATATATAACTGAGATTCTCGAAAAATATATTAAAAAAAGACTATCAAGGAGCTTGGCTGCTCCTGAAATAGTACCACCCTTTTATCCCTTTTCTCCATTTCCATCTAAACAGAGATTTTCGTTTTGTTCTGTATTTATAAATGTAAACCTTGATCCGGCACCTTCGCCATACTTTAAAAATGTCAGTACTAAAGATTTAAAATCGTGAACTATTATATAATTGAAGGTTCGGTGCAAAAACTAGTCAACTCCAGGAAATAATTGTTTCTTTTCACCAATAGTAACATTGACAACTTCAAAAAATCAGGTAACTTCTTCTTCGGGTTCCTTCTCCTAGCGGAGGTTGGAAATCATCATCGCTTTTTTAACTTTGTTGGCCGCATTTCTGAACAATTCTAATGAGCTGCAGCCGAACCACTCTCTCAAATTTCTCAGCCAGGACATTTTGCGTCGTCCTGGGTTTCTCTTCCCTGTATCTTCCCTTGCATAATCAACCTCAGTAATACGTACTTCTCACCCCTCATTAAATGTCCCAGATATTGAATCTTTCTAATTTTAACAGTTTTTATGACTTCACATTCTTTCTTCATTCTTTGTAACACCTCTATATTAGTTACTTTTTCAATCCACGATATTTTATGCATTCTCTGTAGCACCACATCTCAAAGGAGTTTAATTTTTTGATTTCAGACTGCTTTATTGTCCACGCTTCCATGCCATATAGTAAAGTAGAGAAGACGTAACAACGTAGCATTCTTGTGCGAATCTCTAGATTAAGGTTACGGTTGCAAAGTAATTTCTTCAATTTTATGAACGTGTTTCTTGCCATTTCTATTCTAGATCTGATCTCCTTTACTTGATCTCCATCTTCGGTTAGCCACGTTCCTAAATATTTATATGTTTTTACACTTTCTATCGCTGTATTATTGATGATCAGGTTATTTACATTTTGTGGTTTTTTTGAGAATATCATTGATTTCGTTTTCTTGAGATTCATTTGCAGTCCGTAACTTTCACATGCATTGTATACATGTTGTATTATGTACTGTAGATCTTCCATGTCACTTGCAAATATGACAGTATTATCGGCATATCTAATATTATTAATGCTATTTCCGTTGACATAAATACCTTCCACGATATCCAATAAAGCCTCTTGAAAAATCACTTCACTGTAGACGTTGAATAAGAGTGGTGAAAGGGTACACCCTTGTCGAACTCCTCTAAGTATACTTACTTTCTCTGTCAGTTCTCCTTCGACTCTTACTCTTGCTTTCTGGTTTTGATACAGATTCGATATAATTAACAGGTAACTAATCAGGTAACAGGTAATTAATCAGGTAACAGGCGATGGTAAACGGCAAAGCATAGCGTTTCAATTATTTGTTTTTAATATTGCAGTAGTATATCGTAGGTATGAATAAAGTGTAAAAAAGATCGTTACATCATGAGCATTAGTTCAAGTAATCAGTTTAGTGAGGAAAAACCATATGCAGATTTTGGGACTGCTGTCCTCATGGAAGAAGTCAGTACAGGATCATCTGAATCTGATGACGCTTACTCAGAGCCTGAGGCATTCAGTAGTAAAAAGTATTATATGGTATAAAAAAGTAATGTTCCATCTACTAGACATTTCTCTTTGGAATGCATTTTACATAAAAAGAACATTAG